TTACAAAATACAGATACATATGTGTCAAAGAGATTGGAAGAATTGAAACCCTGAAAAAGTGAGAAACTAGAAGAGAACCAGGAAGAGAAAACAGAAGTGAAGATGAAAACAAGGTAATGATCTTAAAGGAAAATGTGGAGGCTGGAAAAACAACACTAACATAAGTATTGGGATTGAGGGAATTTTATTTTATGATGCAATTGATAGTGGGTATAAAAATAAACAAAAGGAAAAGATAAACATATTGAAATAATAGAAATAAAATATTTCCAACTTTGGCCTTTTATTTAGTAACTAACCCACTTTTCACTACTATAATAAAATACTGGAGGCAGGATACTTTAAAAAGAAAAGAGATTTATTTTGGCTCAAGGATCTGGAGGTCCATGATATAAGGACAACATCGGGTAATGACTTTCTTGCTGGCAGAGTCCCAAAACAGCACAGAGCAGCCCTGGAAAGGGACATGGAGAGAGTGTGTGCATATCTATTCTGACCTCTCTTCCTCTTCTTATAAAACCACCAGGATTCAATCTCGAGGCGTCCACCCTAATGACCTCATTTAATCCTAATCACTTCCCAAAGGCCCCACCTCTAAACATTATTGTAGGTGGGGATTTAGCTCAGTGGTACCAGGCCTGCCCAGCAGGCACAAAATCCTGAGTTTGACTCCCGGTACTAGAAAATAAAATAAACATCATAGTGGGATTAAATTTCCACCTTCTTAGTACCCCACAGACAGAGGTTAAATTCAAACACAGGAAACTGGAGTACACCCAAACTATATTCAAACTATATTCAAACCACAGCATTAATTTACTGAGTGAAAAGTCTATTCATCAAGTGATAGAGTCAGGATTTTCCCCTCACTCTAAAAGTTGATAAAACATGACTCCAAATGATCAGCATTGTCATTAATTGTAAAAAAAAACAAAACAAAACAAAACAAAAAAACAGGTCTTTAGAAAGCATGAGAGCATACTGTAAAACAGGTTTTCTAAAGCAATACTTCTGCAAGAGCTCCATGAACAAAAGGGCCCCTTTGGTTGGTACAGAAAGTTTAGAGAATGGTGCATATGACATTCTTCTTAGAAATTCCTGCACAGCACAACATTAAGGGAAGACCTATTCACCTCACCTTTAACTCAGTATTTTCCAAACCTTTTTAACCACAAGACACTTGTTTCACTCCACATTTCATTATCCTCCCATTTGGAAGGCGGGCTCAACATCAAGTAACCTGGTTTGAGTCTTTGCTTCTGTATTTTTGCTAGATATGTGACCTGGAACAGGTTATTTAGCAATGACCCTGAACCTTAGCTTCCCATCCATAAAATGGGTTTAATAATGGAAAATGCTTAGTATAGTGCCTGGTAAATGTTGGATTAAGTACTATTATTAGTATTCTATTGAAGGCATTCTGGAAAACTTAGGTCATGTTAAACTTTCTGTTGAATTTCCACATATAGTATCAAAGTATGCCATCATTCTTGTAACATCTAGAAGAAATTTATTTTTCTGACAAAAGAAAACCATAACATTTTTTTCATTTTTCCTATGCCCTACCTCCTGCCTTTCTCAGTTAGGCAATGTAAATAAAACCACAATCAGCAGTTAGTCCCATCCCATCTAGGCCAATGATCAGAAAAAGGGCCATAAGCAACAGAATACAGTATGGATACAAGTGTGTCTTGAATCACAGAAGACCATTTCTAAGGTGAAGTGGCTCTAGCAAGAGAACTTTCACATGGGCCAGTCAGTAAGACTGTGCTCAGGACAGATACAAAGGTGGAAAGGTGAGACAGGCCCTCAACCATCTATCTCATGCAGAAAGAAAAGGCTTCCTCTCACACCCTTCCCCTCACACACAGATACTAAGCACTCCAAATTTTGTCTTCCTGCCCTCTATCCATGGCTTTCAGGAAAAATCCAAAACTTACTCACATTATGGGATCACTCTTCCCAATTATTTTACATCTAACATCTTTCAAACTGTTCCATTTGAGCTCTAAAAGTGAAAAATCACAAATTTGCTAGTAAAGTGCAGGTAGGTGGGAAACACTCCTAAAATTAAAGTTCCCTTCTTGGAGAAAGTCCTTTGGGTCCTGTCTGGCATTTTGAGCACATGGTGTGACACCTGCATTTTCTCAGGTCTGTTCTCACTGTGTGTTACCAGGAGCTGCATCCCTGAATAAGTTATCACATAGTGGAAAATCTGGACTTCTAGGTGACAGTGTCAGAGAAGAGCTGACTCAACTCACTAAAAATGTTATGGATGTAGTAGTATCTCCCAAGCAAAATTAACAGTTAGTGCCCCATCTTGGAGCTAGACCACAGAAGGGCCCTGTAGGTATACATTGCCAAGGAGTAGAGAAAGCTTTCTCTCTACTACTGAAGGCCTGGGTCAACACTGCATCCTCAGGACCCAACAGTGCCTTGAATACCGTTTTTAAAAACAGAGCAAATGCCTCTTAAATTAATGAATGATAAGGGAATAAATAACTTTTCTTTGTATTCTAACTTCAAACTCATGACCCAAGGAGTTCAGTCAATCCTGAAGTCTGTTATTTTAAGATGTGACTCTGAAGCTTGTTCCCTAGTGTCAAGTAAATAGGAAGAAAATAATGCCTCATTCCCAGCATCCCAACCCCAGAAATCAAGTGCTAAAGGTTCTGATTCATAAAATGACCCTCAAGCTTGCCTGAGAATTTTTCAATTCACAAATAGGTTTCCTAACATATATTTTATACCAGATTTCAATACACAATTTCATATATATTACTAAAATTTTTAAATGCCTGTAAATATGTGGAAATAAACCTGCAACATACTCATTTGTTGCTGACCCAGTAAAAATAGCTGCCAAGTTTTGATTGGCAATTGTCAGTAATACCATGGAAAGTATGACTCCATGCTAACCCAGTGGGCAGTTTTTAAGTGTTAAGTTATCCTATTCCATTTTATTTTGAAATAAGAAAATTGGTTCCTATCTTATTTTTAAGCTCATGCACTGCTCATTCACTGTATTAAGGCCAACACACTTCATTGTCTCGGTATTTAAGTGGCATATACTGAATATCACTTTCCCATATGGTTCCTGAGCTCCTATTTCAATGACATAATGCAGTTCATACTGTTAATTTCTTAAATGCTCCATAGCACCTTACCCTTAGTTATGGGTATGAAATTATCCAAGCAATACTATTAATGAGAAATCTTCCACTCAACTGTAACCTTATAGACTACTGTTGGCTGCTATCTGCCTTATGCAGAAGGATTTGAGGTGCCTAAAAATAAATTACAATTGCCCTGCTACTTAGGAATATAGCGGGTAGAGCACACAGATGTGGTAATGGGAGGAGTTATAATTGATCTTCTATGAGCCCTTCCTCTTTTCTCTTCCCACATCCACTTTATTACTAATGATACCAGCATTACAAGCTCAATAGATAGTTGTTAAAAGGCTGAGTAATTCATCTGTTGATAACATAATTGCATTATATTTTCCTGTGTACTCCACACTATTCTACTATTCCATTCATGGCTTTTTTATGTAGAGATATTTGCTTATTTGCCTGCTAAATTAGTGTTTTCAATTGATATTCTCTTTTAAATTTGCTAGACTCTTAACTTCATTTTGTCTTCCTTTATGTCTGTTCTCTGTCAGGAAGATCACCATGGAATACAGCTGGATGCATAAAAACCAGCACCCTGTTTTTCCTTGTATCCTTTATAGCAGTGGTCAAGAACCTATGGCACGCGTGCCTCAGTGGCCACACAGAGCCCTCTCTGTCGGCAAGTGAGCCCAGTTGCCCCAGGAACCAAGCATTGGAAGTGGTTTTTACTAAACTAAAACCTCAGTATTCAGGTTGAACTGCAATGATGGCACTTTGCAATAAATAAATAGGTTACGGGTTGTAGTTTGGGCACTTGAACTCACCATCACTGTTTTACACTGTGTACTCTCACTAGCACAAAGAAGGAATTCAGTAAATGTGTATGAATAATGCCATGTGCCATGGAGGAACAAAGGGAAGCAGAGAGAAATAAAGACCTTGAAACAAGGCCACACAGTGCATTGAATGAATATGTTCCTTACCTATAAAGGAGAAGACACACCTACCTGTTGTGGAAAGCAATTAAAATCATGCAGGCAAAAACTGTATGAAAATGGGAAAACATTAAAAAACAGCATCTTGAATATGACAATAAGCTGCAAATAAAGTTAGCAAATTGCAGCCTTTGCAGGGCCACCTCCAGAGAAGGGTGCAGCGGACATTTATGAGGAGGCTGTGGCCATGGTTCAGGTCTTATAGATTACAGGGAGTGAAGGACATCGCTGAATCTGAGAATCCAAAGGGAAAGCACTTGTTTGCAAAGAAATGAGTTACACCAATAATATAAAAACCAACATCTACCTGGAGTGCAAAATAAGAGCTTTTCATCTTTCAAAGTCTTTAAGATTAAAGTATTTGCCCAGATGACAAGAATACAGGCCAGCCTCCTTTGGTTTCATGGATTCTTTCCCAAAATTAAACTATTCAGCTTTTCCTGCATAGTTATAGTTCAAATCAGTAACTTGAGAAATGGCAAGAGGCCAGACAGGAATAACAGCAGATAACGGAGCTATGTGCTACTTTTTTCCAAATTATATGACACATTTGGCTCCTGAAAAAAGATTCTGATATGTAGGCATTTTCATTACTTAGATTTTAGCATATAACACAAAATAACTACCACATGATTTTAATATACACTGACTGGTCCACGAATGCAATTGCTGTGTAAGTCAAGGCAAAGCAAGACTCCTTTCTGTTCAAAACGTTACCTACCAAGAGTTGTCCACCATTTCAGAAAGTCATATGTAACAACCGCACTATGTCCTTCCGTGGCCAATAAAACACACACTGATCTGCATTCATAGCTGGCAATTCCACACAGATACTGCATGAAATTAAGAATCTAACACTATAATATATAATTTTATCCTGAGGGGTGATCATTGCTGCTACAGTCAGTGGGCCCAAAATAGTTCATGTTCTTGTGTATGACAAGGAAATAATTGCCCAGTGTACACCTTGTAGTATGTAGTAAGTTTATTGAAGATCACAGGGTGTAGCTGGAATAGGCAGAAGGCAAGGCAAACAAAAAGGGGCTTTGTAACTCAGGCTTCTAGTATCTGTAGGGTCAGGCACCTCTCGCTATTTCTCTTTTCTGATGTCAGCAATCTGTGCGAACGCCTACGCTTAAGCCCGAATAGTCATTAGGGTGGTCTTGTGTTTATGGTTAAATGGAGAGAAGGCAAGGGGTGGTATAATGTTCACAGTTGAACAAGGAAAGGGAGCGACTCAGCTCCTTTGCTTCTAACTGTACCTATGGTTTTTAGTGAAATACATTTTATTAAAAATAGGGGTTTTTTCTGCTTTATTTTACAGTTATGGTATTATATTGACTGTGTAGGTTAAATGTGCATATAGACAATTAACTTTGGCTTTCATTTCAAGATATCCAGAATATAATGTTTGCTATAAAAGAAGTTTTGGGTCTGGTAGAGTTATGAGAACCACTAACCTACTCACTCTACAATGAAACTGAGAGGTGAAGAAACCAGCTCAAGGTTACAAAGCAAGCAAATGACCAAGGAGGGCTAGGAGCTACCTAGACACTGAGTGCTCCTTCCAACACACCATGTGGCCTCATGGAAATGATACCACAAAGGTACAAAGGGGGAAAAAAATTTAAATCATACTCACATTGGACTGGTGAGCACTGGGCCCAATGGGGTAAGGATGGAGGAATCCTTCTACCCCTAAATCCCAGCACACAGGCAAGATACTCTAGGAAATATGTTTCTCATTTTTTTTAAATTCTGGATTTGGCACTGAGCTTATGCAAACTGAGTTCTGGCCAATTCAAAGTTTGTCTTTGAAACACAAATGGATAAAGCAGTCAATGGTACTGAAATTTGTGTGTATGGCTGGCTTGAAAGTAGAGAAAAAAGAAAAACAGAAAAAAAATTGTATCTAAAGAAAGCAACAGTCATTCTTACCTTGGATGGGAATTTTAAAAGTACTTCACAATGAAGAAATCAAGGGAGAAATACTCAATTTGTAATCAATAAGTGATGCCCCTAGTTTTAGACCTTGAGTTCAGACACTTTTAGTCAGATGGAGTTCATAGGATGTCTGATTGCAAACAGCTAGGTAGAATAGGTAAAAGCCATGTCCCAGACAATGTGTATTAAAACAGTGAAACACTCCTAAAGGATAAACACAAAAGTGATGAACGTTTATCTCAAGGTTGATTTCTAATCGAGCCACTATTCTGCATTTAGGAAGCAACAAGATTCTCTCAACTAAGTGGCTTCAGTGGTCAGTATTTCATAAACCAAATCCAGGCACCCACAAAATAAGAACAGAAAGGCAAGTCAACTAATTGTGTTCTTTTAAATTTATCATCCTTTGCATTGAGCCTAGAGTCACTGACACTGATATATAACTATCCCAGTCTGAGATTGAGGTTGTCTTCCAAGCTTTAAAAGACTATTAAAACACTCAACTTCAATGTCAGCTTAAAAGCTGATGCCAACAATTGTAACATTTAGGCTCAATCTATAAACCAAAATGATTCTGTTCTTTTGGACTTAACATGATAAACGCTGTCCACTTTTTGTTCAGGGAGTTGCTACAGAGCCTCATATTTCAGGATGGAAAACCCCAAACCTGATGGATTTTGCTTCAAATGAATATGATCCTAAATGCCTATGCAATCATTTTTATGAAATTAATGGAATCTGTATGTATAAAATAAAATAAAAAGCGATACGTCTGAAGTTACAAATATACAAAGCCAAAACATTGAACTCTCTTTCACATCATGTTAAGTGAGGTTGGAGGCAGACAAGGCGGTGGATGGAAGTGCTGAGGAAGTTGGCTGTTACGATGAGCTGTGGCAAAGGAACATATCTAGTAGCTTTAAAACCCTAGGAAGAAAAATAAACAGTTCATAATTAGGTCACTTTCTTAAGGTTTCTTTTGGAAGTGCCTAAATGCAAAAAGAGTGATTAATCTAGGTTTAGAGTAATTACACCACCCAACTGCAAGCTTCTCCTACTTAACCAACAGGAACCTGTGGGGGCACCAGCACCCAGGGGGGCCAGAAAAGAAGGCTGTGAGGTGGAGAGAAAAGATTTGCCCCAGAAAACCATTTATCTTGCTGCACAATGCTGAGTACCAGAAAGAGTAGTAAGCAACAGGAAATTTGTCTTAACTGTCCATCTTAACTGTCCACTCACTTGGCAATGTACATCTTATCGGAGAAGGACTTCGACTTCGAGATATCTGGAAAATATAAAAGTGTAATATGAATTGCACAAAAATGAAGCCCAAAGGATAAATCCTTTTGACATTTTTTCCTCTAACGCTACCTAATTAGTTGCTCTGAGGCACTTTAGAACTATGGTGTGATTCCCCCCACACACACATCATTCAGAGCAACCATCGCTTTTCCTTTTATACTTTTTGCAGCGAATGGGCACTCAATTTGCTTTAAATCACACCATTAATTAAAAGCGAGGTACAATGGCCTGAGAGTAGCCATACTGAACTCAATGCTTTCCAGAAAACTATTATTATTATCATAGTTAACTAATAAGAGCTAAAGATGTAATCCCTGGCAGATCCCTTATGTGAGTTATCTCATGTGTGCAAAACTTTGCTCTATGAAGTATTGAGCAGCCAGGAAAGAATCATTTTTAAACCTCACCTCTTCTTTCATTAAGCAGAAGCCACCACACTCGCTGCTGGCTACAGGCACCATCCCTGCTCTGAGCTTTCAAGCACTTTGACTAGATGCTAACAAAGATGGAATCTATCCCAGATGGGTCAAGACCTTAAGTAGCCCCCCCAAAAGAAAGACTAACCAAAGATGGTTGCATTTTAGTTTGCAGTTATACCCAGTTTTGTTGTAGGGAGAGGATGATGGAAAGAGAAGGGAAGTTGGCCGCAGTTTTGCCTTGGGGAATATATTTTATTTCCTCATCTAAAGTTTAAATTACTTTGTTCTCCCTAAACACGGAATACAAAACAGAGAGAAAGAGGTCCAGATACAGAGGACACTCCCGTGGATAAAAGTTCCTGCTGGAGCCGGAAGTCTGCCAGGCCTGGAACACACTGAGGAGTCTAAAAGTACTGCTTCCCCTGCTTGGTCATTTCCTCTTGGAATGTTTCCTCCAATATAGCGCTCTCAAGATTTCCTTTTCTTTTTACTGACCATAAATGTTTGTTCCTAAATATAGATAATTAAGTTAAACTAAATTCTCCAGAAGCAAAATGACTGTGTCAGGTGCATGCCTTTTCTACTTCCTCAGCATTTTTTAGGTGATTTTCTTCCCGTGCATATGCCTCTCCACATTCCCAGCCCAGGGAAAGCCACCTATTTTAAAGACCAAGGCAAATATCAGGTCCACCATAAGCCCCTTTCTCATCACCATGTCTCTAGGCCAGTGGTGGTGAACCTATGCCATGCATATTATTTGCTTTTCTTTTAAGACAAAAGATGTTAATGTAGGAGTTGTTTTTTCTAAACCAAAACCTCAGTACTCAGGTTTAATTGCAGGGTTGGCACTTTGATAAATAAGTTGGTTTGGGGTTGCAGTTTGGGCATTCATCTCTAAAAGGTTCACTGTCACTGCTCTAGGCCTTTCCTTTATAGACTGTATCATAATGCATCACATTATGAACTTAACAATTTGTACACTGTATCACCTTCCTAACTGATCTTCCTATATGAAAAGCCATTCAAGGGAAAGCCCATAACTAATCATTTTGGCATCCACCAAAGACATAAGGACTGTTTTAAGAAGAGGCTTGTTGGAGAACTGATAGATGCTTGCTAACCTCTGTAAGAAAGGTGGGTCTCATTAACTACTCAGGTGGGGGGCGGTGCTTTGTTTTGCTGACAAGGTTTTGCCACTTGAGGACTACAACTGCAACTGCTAGAGGCAATTTCAGACTCATACGGAAATATCCAGAGGAACCGAAGACCTGTGCTCAGATCAGCTGAGATGTCCCCTTCTCTGTTCAGAGGAGTTTATCTGATCTCTAATAGCCCATTTCATTCAAAGATAATGAAACTACAAAGTAAGTCTACTATTCCTTGAACTCATTAAAAAGAAAAACAAAAACTCTACTTCTTCGTTCTATACTAGTAAGTTCCCTAACCCATACACTTTGGCGTTAGTGTTATAATACAGGATCTCTTTCTACGTAGAGTTGTGTTATCACCTCTTTAACATGTGACTGTGGAAGCAAATTAAGTGTGAACTACGGAATGTTTTATGTAAAACTAATCAAACAGATAAGTACCGTGCTTAAACCAATGCGGCTACGGGGGTAAACAGGACTTAAACTCCGGCTTCGACATCGACTTAGAGATCGCATCGAATTCCACTAAAAAAAAAAAGAGAGAGAGAGAGAGAAAAAAAAAGTCAAGATTGTCCAAAGGCTGACACGAATTGACACAACATGCACACGCCATCAAACACCAGGCTTTACTGTCAGGATTTCACTTTCCTATGACTGATTAGCACCTTGAGCGACACTCCTCCTTTCGTTTCCTAAAGCTGCCTAATATTGAGCAATAGCTTCTCAAATAAAATTCCACTATCATGAAGGTGGGAATGTTCAGATTCTTGATTGTAGAAGCATATTTTGATGAGTAATCTGTTCAAAATCTATCACTTGAATTTGCAAGTGTTAGAGAATGTAAGCTCCATGTGGGCAGGGATCTTTGTTTTGTTCGTTGTCAAATCCCCTAGCACAGTACTTGGGTCATAAATAACTATGGAATAAATAAATATCATTGAATCAAATGAATGAAACATAACTTATGCTCACCTACTCTTCAGAATTAGAAATGCAAAAATTATACATCAAATTGCATACATTACACATGTGATAGTACCAATAGTACCTCTGTATATACTTCAATAAAGGTGCCTTTAAAAAGAAAGGAAATGTTGCACCACAAAAAAGAAAGGAAATTATATTCCTTAAAATGAGATATTACAAGTAAAATTCATCTTGAAAATTTCCCTGCATTCAGTATTTTTTCCTTTTTCACATTCTTCCTCTTAGGACATTTTCATTCTGTTTTGGGCATTGAAGCTTGGGCAAATGTTGGTAATAGATTGATGAGGTAGAAGAAAGGAAGTTAGAAAGGCAATTGCTATTTGACATAGAGCAGGTTTCTTCTCTCTCCCTTACAAAATGCACTGTGGGTAAGAGTTTCTTAGTAATCAGTGATTCTTGTAGAATCAAGGAGCATATTTTATGAGACCATTCAGTGGACAGCATGTGTGGTCATCAAATCAAAAGAACCCAATTTTAAAGGGTCAATTTGCATAGCACAAAACATTTTATTGAGATAGTTTTCATTGTAATGGAGTATGTAAGCTCCAAAAATCCCTTTAGATTCTTGGAAAATAAACTGCTCCCCTTCTCCACTCTATGCTGCCATGAAGCACTTCCTGTACAGTCCAGCTAAAAGAGACCAAGAACAGAGAGCACTCGGACAGAGGCTTTGCTTTGGATAAGTTGCCTCCCTTCAGAATTTACTTAGTTCTTTCTAGGGAAGGCAAAGGTAAATACTACATTCCATGAACTATGCAGACTAAGTACCTGGGGCCACCAGATCCAGCACACAGTTCCCATACAACACACACTCACTTGCACACTTACACATCTAAAACTTCATTTTATTTAACATGTATTCCAAACCTTCTCTAACCAGTGTATATAAGAAGCAACCTCCCGTGATCAATAGGCTCCTCTCTCCACACCTGCTCTGCCCTTTTCCCCATCCCTCCTCTCCCTACATAGCATATAAAGGAGAGAAAAGCATAGTTTCCAAAAAAAGAATTATCAGTAAAAACTGGCAAATGGTTTGCTAAAAGTTAATTAATCATGTTTAAACACTCAGGATTAATCATAATTAAAGCCTCCAAGGTAATGCATTCAAAGAGCTTAACACTTAAAATATCATAATATGTCTAAGATGGAGGAGGTAACGGTGACTAGGTCCATCTTATAAATAGAGTAACAACAAAATCACTGCCAGTTAATTGTGAGGAATGATGGAAGAACCAAAGAAAAGAAGCTGTCCTTTCCAAAGTCATCTCCTTCTCTCCTTTGTATAATATCTTGTCAAACAAATCTTTTATCAACTTCTTTTATAGAATCTTTGGGTTTATAAATGTTCTCGAACTTGTGAATCAAACAGTGAGGATGAATTGTCACTATGCAAGGCCACCGTACAAAAGCCCCTCTTTTGGTGACAGCTTCTCCCTTCATAATGACACAGTCGTTCTCCATGAGTGCAGGCCACACATGATAAAAGACCAAGGGAGCCGTGAAATCCGAGTCATAGCTACGACGGTACCTGTTGTAAATGCACAAAAGAACAAGAGAAGATAAACAATGATTTAGCATAACTGTGGGGAACCTCCATGTAAAGTTATATGCTTTATTATGTTTAGATCTAGATACACATGGATTCAGATTCTGTTATTAAGGAGATGGTGGTGGCTCTTAAAATAGGAACCAGTATATCTAGAACCCAGTATTAACTCACTGAGACCAGTTCATGTTAACTATTCTTATTCCTTATCTTCTCAGGATTGTAACAGCTGCAAGTAAGAGACATGCTAGCAACATGAACTTATGAAGTCCTATAAGACTCCTTAGAAGATTTCTCTTGCTCTATCTGTGGGGAAAAAATGGAGGAAATATAGGTGGATGGTCAAGTTAAATTGGTGAGCTGGAAACAGGTTCAATGATCATATCTGAAGAGGGATAATTTTAATGGATAACAGAAACTGGTGAAGATCTGAGATCTCTCTTATAGTCCTATAAGTCAACATGCTTATCAGTTATGTGAAACACAGAAAAAAATGATCAGGCTAAAACAAGTTGGATAAAATCAGGTCAGATACACTATGAATACATATAAGGTCCTGCAGTTGAGTCTAAAAAGTATTTAACTCCACAAATGAGGAAATATATAACTTGGTCACAGCATAACTGAAGATAAAATAGCACATTTCATTTGTACTCAAAATGAGTCAACAGTATTTTAAGGCTTAAAAAAAGTAAAAACAACTGTAAAATAGCTGAACTAATACATATATATATATATAGAATAAGAACGAAAAGCATGTTAGTCCATCTCAGTTGGTCAGTTCAAACTAGAGTGGACACTTCTGTTAAAAGGAACATTCAACAGAGCATGAAGCACAGGCTAAGAAAGCACATCTATTCGCTAAGAAGTCTCCAACTCACTCCATTTGAAAAAACCCAAATCCATGAGGCCAAAGAAGGAGGAGTTGCTTAATGTATGAAATGGTTTCTCAAATGTGTGAAAGGATGCTAGGTGACAAAGAATTTGACTGGTTCAATGAAGTGCTAAAAACATAGTGGTCCCTTGAATGGATTTTGGTTCCAGGATGCCCAATAACAAAATGTACAGATACTCAAGTCTCTTATTAAAATGGTCCAGTATTTGCATATAACCTATACAGTCCTCCTGTATACTTTAAATCATCTCTAGATTACTTATATGAAACACAATGTAAATGCCATGTAAACAGTTGTTTTACCATATTGTTTAGGGAATAACAGCAAGGAACACAGTCTTTACATATTCAGTACAGAAGCACATTTTTCCCCAAATTTTTTCAATTCCTAGTTGATTGAATCTGTACATGGGAAGCTCATTGATTCAGAGAGTTGACTATTGAATCAAATCCAGTCATTTCTAGGAATTCCAATTTCTACTGCACAGCCAAACAGGCATTTTCCCTCTGGTTAAAGGGATATATGTAATCAGGAGGACTAACAGAGGTCTGTGAAATGTGCAGATTCCACAAATTAAATGGGCATTTCCAAGTAGTACTATCCATCCTCCCAAGAGGCAAGAAACAAGGAAAGATGGATGATGATAATGTGCTCTAGAAGGGCATAACAGAAGATGCAACTGGAGGGTAATGTTCTAATTCTCAGCTCTTACACAAGTAAATGCATGTTAGGACCTGAAACCAGAAACATGTCAATGATGCGCTAAAAGGCAAGCAGCCCATTACTGTTGTAATCTGTCTGAGTAAAAGAAAAGAATATGGTCTCCATCATCAACAGCTCCCTGGAATACTAGGCAGCCACGAACCCACAAGTCTACCACTAAACTAAGACCCACAGCTAATATTTCCTGAGCATTCACTGCATGCCAAGGCCATACTGTGCACTTTATCTGAGTTATCTCAGCTAACTTCACATTGCCTTAGGAAGAAGGCACTATTATCTCCCCAGAGAAGAAATGAAAGAACAGAACAATGAAACAGCATGACTGTATAGCATAGCTAATATGTGGTGAAATGGGATCTAACCCTAAGCAGCCTGAGCCAGAGCTGGTATGCCTAACCGCTAACCTCTGGATAGTCACCTGTTATAGCTAAGATCTCATCCAATTTCAATGTTTAACTTATCTTGATTAAAAGGGGAATATTTACCAGGTAAAACTAAGTAGAAATCTAATGATTCTAGATGAGAACCCAGAGCAGTCATTATCAAACATTAGTGTGCATTCAACAGACCTGAGCACTGTTAAATTGTTGCCTCCTGAACTCTACTCTGGACCTGCTGGATGGAATGTCATGGAATGTGGAACTGGACTGTGCATTTTTAATAAGTACCTTAAGTAATTCCGATGCAGGTGACCCACATACATGAAGAATTCTGGCCTAAATAATGCAATAAAAAAGTAATATACATTTGTGTTTACAGAGCACCTTTCCTTTAAACTTTTGGAGACAGGCTCCAGGCACTCATTAGTACTCCTTAGCAGCCAATGTGTCCAGTGATGAATGAGCCCAGGAGAGGACCTTGCCCAGGAATATGAAAAGCACAGACCATAGCCTGGAAAACAAGTAGTGACTATTGATGTCCTCACCCAGAGCTCCTTCCCTTAAAGTGTACCCAGGGAACAGAGAGACAACATAATTAGTGAGAAATCCCTTAGCTTCTGCACCTCTTACTTGCAATCATTGAAGATTTCTCCATCGGCCCCAAAGGCGATATCAAGGGGAGGATCCAAAGACTGCATTGCAAAGGCAATACAGCATATCTCCTGGATGAAGTCACTGAGGAGGCAAAAGTCGACTTCAGGAGGGAAGGAGATCTTGGGGTTGACATTCATGGCACGGATCACATCCTGTAAAATCAAAGATAGTATCAACTGGTTGCCAACCTGTGGCAAGAAATTTGACATCCTGGGTCTCTAATATCATTTTGATTGATGGGAAGAGCATGGAATGAAAATAAGCTAAACTACAGCAATAGCGTATATCCTACAAGGAAAAGAATGTTGTCACTCCTTAATAAGGAAGAAGGAAAGATGACACCACACAAATGACAGGCTAATGGCCAAGAAAGTCCTTCTAAAAAACTAAGGGGAGAGCCCAGGATTTAGCTCAGTGGTTCCAACACCTGCCTTGCAAGCACAAGCACAAGGACCCAGGTTTGATCCCTGGTACAAAAAAAAAAAAAAAAAAAAAAAAAAA